TCCCTCTCACACTCACACTCTCACTCACTCACTCACACTCACACTCACACTCACACTCACTCACTCACACACTCAGACTCAAACTCACACACACTCACACTCACACTCACTCACACGCTCACTCACACACACAGCTGTAGTGATTGTTGTTTTGTTCTAAATGTCTCTGTTCTTGTGTTCAGATGCCTGTTTTCTCACACTGGATCCAAACACCGCAAACACTGCACTCAGTCTGTCTGAGGAGAACAGAAAAGTGACACGTGTGAGAGAGAAACAGCCGTATCCTGATCATCCAGACAGATTTGATTATTGGGAACAGGTGTTGTGTAGAGAGAGTGTGTGTGGACGCTGTTACTGGGAGCTGGAGTGGAGCGGAGATAATGATGTGTTTATATCAGTGTCATACAAGAGCATCAGCAGGAAGAGAGGTTATGAGAGTGTGTTTGGAAATAATGATCAGTCCTGGAGTTTGATCTGCTCTCCTGACAGATACTCATTCAAACACAATAACATACAGACTGTTCTCCCTGTAGAGCCCATCAGCAGTAGAACAGAAGTGTGTGATGATCACTATATAACAGGAGTGTGTGATGATCACTACATAACAGGAGTGTGTGATGATCAATATATAACAGGAGTGTTTGTGGATCACAGTGCAGGAATTCTGTCCTTCTACAGCATCTCTGACACAATGAGCCTCATCCACACAGTCCAGACCACATTCACTCAGCCACTCTATCCTGGGTTTAGAGTTGGTTATGAATCATCAGTGAAACTGTGTTGATGAATCAGAAGAGACTAACAAGAGATTCTACCCATAATGCCTCGAGCTGCATGACAAACCAGTAACAGTGAGATGTTATAGTCTCTTCATTACATGAATACTGTGTCAGTCAAATAACATGAATCAGAATAAACGTGTGTCATAAATCCTCATCTAGACCAGGAGTTGGCAACCTTTTGGGCATGAAGTGCTATTTTAAATTTTTCTAGTGCTGTTAGACTGCTGAGGCGGATCAGGCTGAAAATGTAACTTAACAACAATATTGGGGAGGGCATTTTTAATCATTGGGGGGACTTGTCGGTTGGCAGTTTTCCAGTGTTAATTTCATTGACGAATAATTTTCGGCATAATTGTTGACGACGTTTTTTTCACCGATGACAATGAGACGATAGCGAACTAAAATTCTTTTTGAATGACAAAAACTATGACGTAAATCTATTGACAATTTCGTCAACGAATAAAAACAAGACGAAAATGTCAGGGAGGGACGATTTGGGAAGAGATTCATTCAGAAGGAATCTGCTGCGTGGTTCGGAGGTTAGATGCATACATATGAACCGGCGGGACATAAGCTAACATACACTTGCTGCGCGTCGCATAAAACGTTAAAAAATTTCAATATGTGGGAGTAAGAGAAGAGCAGACATATGGATAAATCTGATGATGCAAGAGAGAACTCAATTCAGTCCGGTTTTCTGAGCGCAGACACTGAAGCATACACACACACAGAAAGCGCCTCTCACAGCGCGCGAGTACTCTTTCGCGTCGCGTGAACGGAGAATTACACACAAAATGATGTCGAATTGTCCTTTTTGATGAGTATTCACGTAAACTCAATTGATTACGTCTTAAGTGAACGTAAACAGTAGGAAGAACGTGTCTCAGTACATTGCATCCATTGCAGCTGTGCATTCGGTTTTAAAGGGACAGCAGCCTAATTTAGTTGCTATTGTCCGAGTCATTGATGTTAATCAAGCAACAAAAGAAAGACAGAAAATCATGCACTGCTCTTGACTGAAAAACTTT